CTGAGGACAGACCCCTCAGGGATCACCGTTAACTACACGTACGCTCTGCCAGTGGATCCCTTCAGGGCCTCTGTTAACTGCATGTACACTCTGAGGACAGACCCCTCAGGGATCACCGTTAACTACACGTACGCTCTGCCAGTGGATCCCTTCAGGGCCTCTGTTAACTGCATGTACACTCTGAGGACAGACCCCTCAGGGATCACCGTTAACTACACGTACGCTCTGCCAGTGGATCCCTTCAGGGCCTCTGTTAACTGCATGTACACTCTGAGGATGGAACCTTTCAGGACCAACCCCTGTAAAATCACCATTAACAGTGTAGACCCATCATAGCCTTGTAACCAAAAGCAGTATCTAGGCTTGGGCACTAATTCAGGGCAGTCACATTACATTAATAATCAAAGTAAAGCTACCAATTAATAAGAAGATTTATCAAGTAGTCTTCTATATAGAACATTATATATACATATACACATACACACACACACACACACACACACACACACACACACAGGAACCAACCCTGAACCAGGCTCCAGCCCACGGCATAGTGCACTCACTCACAAACACACTCAATTTAGGCACTTCCGATTAATTAAAGTTGCATGTTTTTGGACTTTGGGAGGAAACCGGACTATCCTAAGTAAATCCATGGACACACAAGGGGGACATGCAAACGCCGTACACACAAAGCAACAGCGTGCAGTGACAGAGGTACCAAAAGCACCAACGTGCCACCTTCAATAGCAGACCTGCACAATGTGCGATTTTAATATCAACATTGCATGTTATGCACATGTAACTGTCACATCGCAAGGACTGCAATAGTCAGCTGGGTTAAGACAAGTTACACCAAAACATTTTTACTCTGTCAGAGGAAATTTAGCGAGCTTTGCTATTTTAATGATGGTTCCTTTTGCACAAGATCTGCATGCACTCTCTGAATCAATCATAATCATTCTCGTCCTTGCTGTCGGACTCACTCACAAAAAGGGTGGCACGTTTGTGACCAACTTAACTAAATGAGTGAGGAAGAGAAAAACAAAGAAGACACTAGTCACCAGAAGACATTCACCTTCGGCTGTATGGAGATATTTTGGATTCCATAGACTATTGAGCATTAGCAAGTGATTTGTCAGCACTGCTTTGTGACAGTCAGCGCACTGTCACAGTGTCACCACCGACTTATCTGACATACTCAATTGGTAGATAAGTTATTTGGCTATGCATTATTTTGGGTAAATTTTCAGCTTCTTTTTAGTTTCATAATTATCACAATATTTATATATAAAAAATATATATATATTGCTATGTGGACTTTTCTCAACTTCATTCAGGCCTGCACAACACACCCAGTACATTCAAAAAATAAGGTTATACACAGCTGTCAGATATATATAATGGTTATTAATTAATATTATATTATTACATATCGTATTATGCACTATGTTAGATGATACGACTAAATGACAAGGCTACCCTCATTTTCAACGTGATTATCTTGAGATAAAGGAATCGCAGAACGTAATTTAAGCTAAATGACTTGAGTCAGTGATAACAAAGATGGGATAGGATTCTAAAGGGCACATATCTTAGTCATCTGTGGCTAACTTTGCATTATTGGGTGAATCGATGGATGCCTTCTTTTAAGCAGTTGCATTGCAGTCATGCTGTTCTGCTTTGCAATACTGACAGATGCATGCATTTTCATTCACTTTTCATGTGAAGTGCTTCCACATAACTAAGGCTTTCATTCTTTATTTGGACCCTAAATCCACTATTCTCCATCTTCCTTCCACCATATTGCCGAGTAACGGGGAAGACACGCTAAAAATTATAATAATAATAATTATCGTGACAGCTCTAATCTAATTCTTCGTATCGTCATACCATTCAGACATCATACCATGGTAAACAGTATTTTGCAGTATTTTCAAAAGCAACACAATTACGATATTCTGAAGTCTTGGTCATAAAATACATGACACAACATGCCAGTTGGGGGCTGGGGGGGGGGCATTTTTTCATGATTGACCACCCGCCATCCCACCCCACACGGATAATTTTCGCGTCAAGAGTTCAAAATACTGCGGTATACCACTTCACTGTGGTACCACCCCAAGTCTAGCGGTACTACAGTTAGGCAGGTACCAAGACAGGAGTCCTACTGGGACTCAAACTGATTACCTTCAGGCCACTAAGCTGTGTCCTTAACTACCAACAACCTGCCTGTCTGCATTTTTAAAGGTAGCAACCCAGCTAAAATTAGATGATGACGCTTCAAAGACAAGAATAGTCATGAACAAGCAGACAACGGTGGGTACGGTGGGGCCGAGGCGGGGAGAGCAGGCAGAATCTCTCTCGGAGCACAGCGCCGTTTACGGCCGGGCAGATGCAGCATGGGGAGATTTTCACAGGCAATATGGCGTCCCCCACAAAGCCGGCATACGGCGGGGAGCACTGGGCCGACCACACTGTCGTGGGGGGGGTGGCCTCCTCACGCCGTCACATGCTTCACACAGCTACTCATGCACAGCTTAGATTCTGTGGCTTGCGGTTCGAATACAGCACAAACTTTATCACCACTGGAGGTGGCCCCCATTCCCAATCCAGCACAGCGACCCCTGCAGGGCGACGGGCTGTTTGCACTGGCCGAGACCACGGTATGTCAGCAAAGCTGCTCCCCTCTAGTAACGTCACGGCGCACACACCACTCACCCCAGCCCACCCAAACCCACCACCATGGTTGCTTCACCTGCCCTGACCATGCCTCCATAACAAGTGCATGTAACTCTCTCTGCTCTATCAGGGAAAACTGTAAAAGGCAGAGAAATGACATATGCTGCAGCATCAGAGGTAAGGCAGAGGGTACGGCAAGGAGACAGCAGGGGGCAGCACCACGAACAGGGATCAGTCAGAACCAACCACAAGCCCGCTGCACTGTTACATGAACAACAGGGCGGCGCTCTAATCACCTTGAGAAGCAAGCCCAGCAAGTCCAGTCTCTATCCAGTGGGCCCTAGCTTAAAAGCACTAGGCCACTCTTACCATCTCAAGGACCACTTTTAACTGAATGGATGTCTGATCTACATAACAGCACTAGGTGACACACACTCAGATATGAAGTGGTCAGACCGTCCCACCCAGGCTCAATGTGGGGCATCCACGGCCCACACTGGGGGCCCCACCTGGACATAGCAGGATGATCACTCCACCTGGTCACTCTCCTGGCGCCTTTCCGTCCCCAACGTGTCAGGCAGTGCTGCCATCTCCATGGCGACCGCACAAATAATCAGTAGCGTCCCACGTGCCGCACGGCACCGTATTCCGTCCTGGCAGAAACGACGATGATGTGACCGTCACGGTCCTAAATTATCGAGAGGCGCGGAATGCGACGGACGGGCCCACTCGCCGACGTGCGGCGTCATGCACGGGGCCCGCGCGGCAGACCGACACGGCGCTCGCCGATCCGCCTCAGCGGCGCCGAGCCGATGATCCCGAAATGGCAGCGGGGTGTTTGTAAACAACGCCATGGAAACAACAGGCCTGCCAATGAGCAGGCGGCGGAGTGGAGCAGCAGCAGTGACCCGGCTCATTAAAGCTTTTCAAACTCACCTTCCGACGTCTGGGCTCCGTCCTGCAGGAGAAAAGCTCTGTCCCTTTTCCAGGTAACGCTTCACCATCTCTCTACAGCCAAACCAACGCAAACTGGACACCTGTGTCCTGTGGGTTTCCCCCCCCCATCTGTCCAGTGATGTACTAGCATCCTGCTCAGGGTGGTACACCCCAGCCCAGTGCTGCCCGGGATGGTCTCCAATCCCCCCACCCAACCCTGACCAGGAGAAGTGGCAGAAAGATGGCTGGATATCAAGTATGCCTCACACAAGTGATCTCAATGCCAGTTATAGTTAAGACCACGCATTTAAGATTATGGATCCATTAACTGAGTGGTAATTTACACAGCCTGCAAAGGATGTGACCCTAGGCCAGGTAAGGATTTATCTGTCACTGGAAGATCCTTTCCTTTTCAACGGGCACGTGGTGGAGAATGCCACGTGCAGAGCCTTATCACTGACACGCTCTTGGTCCGAGAAACTGTGCAAAAGCTGGAGGGCTTGTCCCTGAGAGGACAACGCCGAACGGACTGAGCAATGGGGAGGGGAGACTGCTCCAGTGGCTTCACATCAGCCTTATCCTGAAACACATACACACTCAGGCATTGGTGTCCCTGTTGCCACGGCAACTGCTTTCTTTCCATGTCAACTGCAACCCAGTTTCTATGGAGACGCATATACAAAAAAAAAAAAAAAAAAAAATCCTTCGCGCTGCAGCCGAGGACCAGATGGCAGTGAACTGTAAGAGTCACATGATCAGCTGTACCGCTCAAACCGGCGCGTGCGTGCATGCATTTGGACACACATACAGTGATGCGTGCGCGCACACACACACACACACACACCAGTGTAAACGTGCTGAGATTCCTCCTGCTACAGCCCTCACTGCTCTTAGGTTAACCCCTAACGCACTCCCACTCCTCACCCCCCACTGAAGTAACCCTCACACCTCAAACTCTTCTCTCTGGTTGTGATTCATTGCTGCTGCATGCCTCACACTGGCCGCATTCCTATGGTCTCTCTATGTCATCTCACATAAACCTTCATATGGTCCAAAAATCCGCCACATAACAAGACAAGCTCACCAAGAATACAGTCCCATTTACATCAGGCTACCCAAAAGCAATCCTGATCTACACAAAAAACAGACCCACTTATTTCATTAAACCTTTGAAAAGTAGGTCACAGCTTTGCACATGTACTAAAATGGCGTTACATTCAACAACATCCTTTCATACAGAGAGAATAGAAAGCTTGAATTTGCTGAAAAAACACACTTATCCCTGCCAGGCCAGAGGGCGGATCACTCCGGAGCCTCCATAAAAGTGACTTTACACTGCGCACCTTTCAAAAGTCCCGACCTGTCAACACACTGCATCACACTGTGGGTTTACACCCAGACACTCTCCTGTGGCCGTTTATACATCCAAGCTTTGAACAGGAGCGGCCGAGGTTAAGGACATCTCTCCAAGGTACAGGAACAGCCCTCCATGAAGGCATGACCTTTTCCGTGACTGAGCTCTGAGAAACAGCACACAAAGACGCACCTTTTCAACACAAACACAACAAAGTGAGCCTGATAAACTACATGTGAAAGGGCCAAATTCCACAGGAGCTCAACTGAGCCCCCCCCCCCCCCCGAGACCACACACACAGCCTCACCTGACTTCGGTCCTTGTCCACCTTCTTGAAACACTTATTGAGGGATAGGTTGTGGCGGACAGAGTTCTTCCACCCTGTGGGGGCGCTGGCGAAGTACGGGAAGTGCTCCAGGATCCAGCTGTAGATGTCCTTGACAGGGAGCCGCTTGGCGGGCGCGTCCTCGATGGCCATGAAGATGAGGCAGCTGAAGGAGTAGGGCGGTTTGCAGTTGGGGCTGTGCCTGGCACCGTGGGGCGGGTCGCAGGGCACGGGGGAGGGTGGCCCGTCGTCCTCCAGCTCCTGCAGTGGGCTCACACTACGCAGCACCGGGTCACCAAAGCTGTTGAGGAGGTTCTTGCTCTCGTGCAGCCAGTTTAAGTTGGTCAACTCCTCATCGTCCATGTGGGGGCGCTCGGGGCGCGAAGCCGCCAAGCCTGGTTCCATCTCCTCGGCCTCCCGCGGGGTCCTGGTGAGCGAGCGAGTCCCACGCAGGGGGCTCAGCCCGCTGGCCACGCCCACGCCGGAACATTCCGGCTTCTTGCTGGGAGGCATGACAGGACCCATGCAGAGCTAAACACCTGTGGAGAGGCAGATCGTGTGATCAACGCAGCCGGGTCAGCCAAAGTCGACGGAGTTCAACCAAGGTCAAGCAGAGCTACCCGGGGTCAAGCAGGCTTCAAGCTCAGCACTGTGAAAGGTGCACACACCCTAGGTCACAATGGTTTCATAGATAAGGCCGCAACTAACTATCTGCTAGTGCTCCTCCGACAGCCTGGCTCTGACCCCACTGGGTATGACACAACCAGGGGATTACTTCAGCACCCACATTAAATCATTAACATCATTTTCAATATAATGATCCTGAATAAATGGAAGGGGTTCCTTCAGGGACAGCAATTAAAAACAATTCTGCGGGTTTCACCCAGCAATGGAGCTGAAATCTTTGACTGTTACCTTGTGATTCCACTGGCATTCTGGATTAGCAGCTGTCATGGGCTCTCTGGAAGCCGGCCTCACTGTCTATCTAATTAAACCAGCCGACGTATGCCTTAATCCCTCCATTTCCCCGGATTTGTTAATCACAGCAGTTACTGAAAAATATCCGCCTGCTATAGAACTGCTCAGTGCGGCATCGTTTCCGGACAGAGGACAGCACAGGGTTTTATATAGCGGCAGGATGCGACGTCCGCTAAATGAAAGAGCAGTGAGGGGTGGAAGCGCACGGTGCATGAAGCGCAGCTTTCCCCGTTCGTTCGGGATCGACGACAGCACAGACGCAAGCCTGACACGGCTGTGAGCCCGCCCCCATCACACAGGCCCGCCTCTACGAGGTCCCTGTGCTAACGGGACGCTGACTGTACACCTCCATAGAATGACGTGCACTTCACAAATGACAAAGGTCTCATGATTTATTTACGAAAACAAGCTTTCCGATACATTGCCAGCAGTTAAGGCTTCAGGAAGGCTACATAGAAAAATAACCCATTAGACAATGGACATGGAATTAAGCATTTTTTACATAATACAGAATGTAATGAAAACGGCTTTATGTTAAATGGGACCCTGTTTAAAACATTCTTAAGCAAAGTGATATCGTTAACCCAGGCATAGATCTTTGCAGAAAGCTGCCGATCCAACATTGTCTCCAAATGGGAGCTGTGGTCCCGTGAGTCCTTGAAATTATATTATAGCTGACAGTAAAGTCATTTAATTGCACAGTTGCTATGACAACACTTCACTCTGTTTGGGCCTAATTTGCTTAACTGCCAATTGCATCCCCTAGGGAGCCCATACATCATTCTTCTCCAGTCCTTTGTGCTAAACAAACTTACAAACACCACCGCAGGAGCACCCTTCGCCTTTGGAGCCCCAGACCGTGGTGTAGGCCCTTTACTGATCTGCACTTCTAGTCTAACTATCGCTATTAAACCCCTACGTGGCGTTTCGATCCCGGACATATTAACTTAAATAAATGCCGTTTATTGACACAGGCAGTTTGGCAATGCGGCCGCGAAGCGTCACTCTGCATTCTCCTCGAAGTAAAAGTGCAAGCTCAGAGAAATTAGAGAGGAAAAGGAGCAAAGCGCAACCCCGAAAACTTTGTTTCGCAACATCTGACGTTTCCTGCATCCTGCGGAAGAAATGGCACGGCGCTGGAAAGCAGAGCCCGGGGCTGGAGTAAGGGCTGGGGAGCGGGGCGGACGGACCTTCCTGCCACGCGTCACGGACTGCGAGCCCCTTCCTGCACGCCCGTCAGGCTCGGGCGGCCGGGTCCGAACCACGGTGCTTCACGGTGCTGCATAGTGTGTTAAAACCATGCGAGACTGGGGACAGTGGCGTGGCATTTCCAAATGCCTGAATGTCACGACCATCAATGTCACATGGCGCAACGAAAACAAAGTGTACGATAAGCGATCGTTACGGAAAGGGTAAAGAAATATTACTTTTATACACGCGCACGCACGCACGCACCCACCCCTGCATTATCTCAGAGCCCAGGCATCTCTCGGTATCCTATAGCACGCCGTTTCTAAAAGGACGAACAGACCGTCTCTTTACCTTACCTGGGTATAAACCGAACCGGCTGCACAAACTGTCGCTGCGATCAACGTTTCTGCAAAAAAATCCTTCAAAATCTTCCATTGCATTCTTCAGCCAAAGTGAAACTCCGACCTCCAGAGTAAAAACCCGGGAAGGGGGACGAAATCCCGGCAGGCATCTGCACGCAGCTTCGGCACACAGAAAACCCTCCAACCGCCCCTGCTGTCCCGGCCGCCAGTCTGCCTCTGTGTGTGTGTATGTGCGTGTATGTGCGTGTGTGTTTTGGGCTCTTCTAGCTGTGAGAGGAAAAAATAAACTGGTGGACCGCGAATGAAAAGTGCACACATGAGCAGAGGGGAAGGCTGCGGGTGGGGCGTCATCGCCGCGGCTGGGTTTGCGGAGCCCGGCGGCGGCTGTCCGCGCCTAAGCGCGCTCTGCCCAGCAGCTGTCCGGTAAAGACCGATTAATTACTCCCTCTCTAAGGAAGGGGTGGGGGTCACGCTACGGTAAACACTCTTCTGATACTAACCTTACATCTTTTCGCGTTCATTTGATTTTTCGGGTTGGAGTTCCAACTAACGACCATATCTTTCTCATTATCCCAAAAAGGCGAAGCAACTTAATTATTACTGTCAGCATAGCGTTAAGAATTTACTCCAGTAAAATTTCCCCGAACGAAGCCATTTGTCCTGCGTTAAAACTTTATGCATGGCACAGGCCGGCAAATCTAGCAGTCGAAATATGACATTACAGGGTGAGACCACTCTCCTATTCCAGACATGAGTAGGGGGTTAGAAAAAATGCGGCAGGGCAATAAGTGCCAAGCAAGAACTAGAATAGCTACAGTCGTACTGAGCCACTCTTAAATTAGCACTAAGTGTGTGAATTGTCTTCTAGTATGCAGACCACCCATTTGTAAAATAAATTGAAACGATAACGCTGCTCATATCACATGAATAAGTTATCCGACATATAAAGCGTCCTACTTACGATCGTTCATATCCTTTCGGCTTTGTCTCACAAGCAGTTCTTAGGGAGGTAATTGGTAAGCTGGGACAATTTTTGAAATTTTACTCTCACTGTAAAAATATGATCTTAGTTATAAATATTAAAACATGAAAGTGTTATTGAAAGCCCAAGAACTGAACCAATGAACCAATGTTCATAGACCACAGAGATGTAAAGAATCAAGCATGTGTGACCCAGTTTACCCTTTCCTTCCACCTAACCAATACTGACCCTACTCCATATTTACTTTTGATACATCTTGTGGTACATATACGTGTTTATAGATGTTCAGTTAGAGGTTCTCCTTATAAATGGTTAGTGAACACAAACAAGGCTGTCAGCAGGTCTCCATCATGTTAAAAGGGCCACTTCAAATTAAGACTGAACATCTTTCTCCATCAGAGAGACAAACAAGTGGTTCACCATCTGGAAATCCAGACTGGAAGAACAGAGACCCTGTCCACATACTGCAGCAGCAAGTACCCTGATGAGTACTCAACTCTTGTTCACCACACTTGAAATACGCACATGCAAATAAATAACAGTAGCTTGCAAAAAAAATCTGGTCAAATATGGAAAAAAGATAAAACTCAAAGATTATAGCTAAAAGAACCAATGAAAGATGCTGGGCTTAGAACGTGGACATTTTCACCACAAACTCTGAAGAAAACCAAGGATAGAAGATAAGTACCAGTAAGCTTGAACATCACGTTCAAAATCTGAACATAGGCTACCGGGGCAGGTGAGTTGTGCTTAGAGTCCTAGACCACAACAGAGCACCGATGTTGGCTTTAAACTGAAGAGGCAGAGAGCACCCCCAGGACTTTAGTCATTTTGACTCACTCACTGCAGCCCAGTGTTTCTCAACCCAGTCCTTGGGGACCCCCAGACAGTCCATGTTTTTGCTACTTGCCAGCTCCGGGAGCAAAAACATGGACGGTCCCCGAGGACCAGTTTGAGAAATACTGTTGTAGCCCAGGCTTTGACACATACTGTAGCAGCCTTCCTACCTGGAATTCTGCTCCCTCTCGGACTCTCATTGAGGTGGACTCCTGCTTTGGCCTCCTCGCCGTGTCTTTGTGACAGGTTGTTTATAGACCTTGTGCGTCTACACGTCTCAATTCATGCGACGATGGGGTAAAAAAAAAAAAACAACAAAAAAACCACAGAAAGCCTCCAAGATCTATGTCAAAGCCCCAACAAGCCCTGACTCATACGTCTACTGTTTACTTGAGGAGCTGGAGCTGTCAGCAAACTCCTCCCTACACAGGAGTCACATATTTATTTACCTAAAGAGCTGTCAGCAAACTCCTCCCAACAAAGGAGTCACGTGTCTTTCCCGAGGTCTACCTGTCCGGTGAGTCTAAACTCCCTTGCATCTCATTCTTTTTTTGTTTAGGTTGTAAATAGCTGAAGTACAGCAGCCTGTGAAGTGGGTTTCTTATCTGCAAAGGTAGAAGACAAAGGATAAGAGCTAGCTTCACACCACCAGAGCAACCTTCCACAGTCAGCTTCAGCTTCAGCTCCAAACCCAATCTTGTCACTGTCATCCAGAAACATCCCGCCTCAGGCCAAACTGCATCATGATTTATCAAAAATACTGTTTTAATCATGGCTGAAATGTTTAGTCTCTGTTTTCCTTTTAATTTCCAGGCATATAATAAATTCACACACGCAGCCAAGTACTGAGTCATGGTTTCCAAGACGTAAAAAAGAGGTTAATGTCAGTTAGTAGCTGCTGAGATTATTTATTACTATTTTATGACAGACCTTTGAGAGTAGTGATTTATACACAAACAGCCCATGGTGTCTCACAGGGTAAACTGCCCTGGCAGTGTCTTGTAGCTATTAAACCCAGCAGAGCTATTTAACAATGGTAGGACATTTTCAGCAAGCTTTCCATCTAACCCTTTAGTAGAAGGGGAGTGCCGCTTCATGCAGTTCAGTCTCAGGGGAGAACCCTGCGAGGTGAAAGAAGACACGTCCCCTTGCTTTGCAGAGCAGGCCAGTAGATACGCTACCTCTGAAGGCGTGACTCATGCCCGTTACCTCTGGGGAGTCTGATCACAGAGCTCTGCGCTAACTGCTGCGGAGGAAAGGGGGGGACAGGCATGGAGAAGCATCCACTTCACCATGGAGATCAGTAGCTCACTTGACTGATGGTCATCCATGTGCAGTGATAGGTGAAGTTAGGGATCGTCCTGTTTGAATGGACTCACGACTGCCACAGCGCCGCAGTGTAACCTGACACCCCAGGGACTTCTGGGTAAAGTGCTTGCTAAGGCAGAGGAGGTCACTTTTCTGCCGCCCTTTAAAGGAGAGGGGGTGCTCCCTCTCTACCAATCAGAGACTGAACAGATGGATTAAATCACTTTTTGATACCAGTGGAGAGAATATAGTCATTGTTGATATATTTTGACTGTCTGCTAAACCCAGAAGACAGACAAATTCCTCAGCCCTGGAAGATAAAGAAATCCCCAGGATTACAGCTGCATTACACTAATGTACACTAGTGTGTTCCCTCCAGTCCAGTGGGCACCTAGCATGGACCACAGCTCATTAAAACTTAAGCATTCACTTTTTATACATTTCTTTTGACCTAAAAGTAGATTGTTATTATTAGTGCTACAATTTGCAGAAATGAGAACTTTGAATTAGTTACACTTAGAAAAGGTACGTCATACTAAGCCAAAGAGGTCTGAAAATCAGCACTTTTGAAGGCAACTCGCAGAGTTCCAAAGAAGGTGAAGCTGACGCTCCAATCGCTGGTACGGCTTTGTGTGTCAAATAACGTATTCATGTGATATTATTTAACACGTCAAGGGGAAAAATGATGACACACATCAAACACACAAATGACACTGGCACTAGCAAATCAAAGCTTACCAACAGGCATAGATGGACACTTAATAGGACAATCACTAAACATAAAGGCATGGTTTCAAAAATGACTACAAAAATGGCGTCTCCGTCTCAATAATAACCAGACACTGGCTTCAAAACGCTCAAATGTACATCCGAGCCATCACTTGGAATCTGCTCATATCCATGTCCACTGCGGAATCCAGTGTAAGAGGCACAAAACCGCGACATCTAAGGAAAGAAGTATACCAACACTGTCAAATAGTCATCTCTCACCCTTTTTCCTCCATCCAAAAAGGTTACATTTAGAGAAAAGCACACCAACAATGTCCACTGGTATAGGGAGCCATCTCATTGGGGGCATTAATCCAACGACAGCTAATGCTTAGCTACTTACAAGACAACAAGAATTTATTTTGCACGGGCCAATACGAAGATATGAAATGACTTGACATGAAAAACCCATAATTCCAGAGGCTAATCATCCAGACTCTCATGCAGTCGTCAGAAGGGAAAGCAGACCTGTGTCACAGCATCTTAGGCTGTTCAAGGCTGCCCCTGCAAGTGTGTCACCACTGTTAGTGAGGACAGAGCGCGCTCTGGTTTCCCTGGCAACTGGAAGAGCCAGGGTGGAGTGACAAGCTGTGTTAATTCTCTCACCCATGAACTGCAGGGATCACCACCATTCATCTTCATTTCCATCGGTCTGTGTCACTGAATTAGGGGTATTAGTCTACTGGCATGGCTGAGCTCAGTATTCCAGGGCTGTTCTCTCTCCTGACTTCATGTAGAACATACTCATCTCCAACTAGGAGTCCACGGCTGTTCCTTCTCCTGACTATGCAGAATGTACTCACCCTCAGTCAATGAGATTAGTGTCGGCACCAAAATTCAGTGCAACAGCCCTAAAAACATAGCTGAGTGAATGCATCTTATAAGGGTATTGATACTAGTGAAAGTTTAGGCTTGGCTAAAGATGCGTATGCCCCCGTGGCAGAGAGGAAAAGGCCAATGGGAGGCATGCTCCTGGGACTGTGGCTTCTGCAAGGACATTGCAGACAGGAGGTCAAACTTGGGTTATAGGTCAGGGAGACCCACAGGGACCTCCAATGGAAAAGGTTGTGGCCCCAGGCTCCCCCAAGCCAAGTGCTAATGCCTCTCCCACAGGAGACATTTCAATAGCCTTGAAAGCTCCCAGTGAGACTGCTGGGGTTACACACCCATCTGCTGAGAAGAAATCAATGGTGAAAATGCATTGTTTGTGACTTCAGGTTCTCCCTCTTTCCAAGGTCCGACACTACTAAGAGACAGCCTAAGAGTGGAGATCAGCCAATAATGCCAAACCTCCACACAGCAGCTTACCCGTTTGCAGAAAGGTACACAGTGATGAAGGAGAACAGACAGCACTGGGATGTGCAGTTAGTGCCAAGTACAATAATAGTAAGCATGGAGTAATAGTAACACAGCTGAATACAGTAAGAGTTGCACAACAGAAATAGACAGTGCTGAGTAAGTGTAAGCCATTTCACAGTCACTTTGGCAGAGTAGTGCCTTGTGGTTGTGACTTAGGTAAGATTA